AAGCATCTTCGGCGAACTGAGAGGCCTCTTGGACTCGCCTGGGTCCTCCGGGAGGCGCAGGCCCTCCCGGCGGGCCCTCCCGGCGGCCCCCCCAGGCTTTGCCACAATTGGCGCCTTCCGCGCGCTGCTCCTGGCATTGTAGGACAGACGACGTGGGGCTCCAACTTCGCCTCACGCATCTCGCTGAGCAGCGCTAGAGCCCGATGCCACTGCCCGCCCTTCTCGCAAGCGCTGATCCCAGCGTTGTAGCTGAGTAGTGTGCACCCGTGGAAAATCGACGGCAGGCAAGTGGAAGGGCTGGTCTCGGACGAAGATGTCGCCGACGCGAGCCGAAGAAGGCGAGGGAGAGCGGCACCAGAGAGAAGGGATGCACGCAGAGGCAGAGGATGAGGAAGAGACGAGAAAACGGGGCAAGGAGTTTTCTGGAGCCTTGCTTGGGGTCTGGGGCTTTCTTTGGGGCTGCTGTCGTGGAGGTGCCGCACCATGCCACCCCTAATCGGCCGCAGGGGTGGGTGTGCCGATGCTTTTTGCTGCGCGCATAAGGGGGTAGAGGGAGGGGGGAGGGCTTCTTAGAAGGAGGCTGCTTCTTAGAAGGCGCCGGCCTTAGATCTATAGATAAGGCCCGCGCCTTCTAAGAAGCAGGGGTGCTTCTAAGAAGTCCTCCCCCCTCCCCCCACCCCCCTCTGCGCGTGGCCGATGCTTGCTGATGTGTCAGTGTAAGAGAACGCCCACGTCGCGCCGGAGCAAAGGGGGGGTGGGGTCCCTCATTAGCACCCCCCCCCTTCCCCCCTTGGACCTCCCCTGCCCGAAGCCCCCCCCCCTCCTCCCTTTTTTTCGGCCAGTCCCCTCATTAGCACCCCCCCCCTTCCCCCCTTAGACCTCCCCTGCCCGAAGCACCCCCCCTCCTCCCTTTTTTTCGGCCAGTCCCCTCCCCCACTTTCGCGCTCAACCGGAGCTACCCCCCCATTCCAAAGGAAGGGGAGCTACCACCCCCTCTCTGGGCCCCTCCCTGCTGGACCCCCCCCTCGCTTTTCTTCCGCCCTGTGAGAGCTACCAACGCCCTCCCACCCCTTCGCATTCCGGAAGCCACCCCCTCCTCACCCCCTTTCCGAAAGGGGGGGTAGCTTAGCTTCTCCCCCCTCTCTTTTTGGTTACCCGCCTTTTTGGTTACCCACCTTTTGGCTTAAGGAAGGGGAGCCAAAAACCAAAGGTGCGCCGAAAACCAACAGAGCGTCGAAAACCGCAGGGCCACCGAACACCGAAAGGGCGCCGAATACCAAAGGGGCGCCGAAAACCAAAAGTGCGCTGATAAGCAACAGAGCGTCGACAACCGAAGGACCACCGAAACCCGAAAGGACGCCGAAAGCCAAAAGGGCGCCGAAAACCAGAGAGGTGCCAAAAACGGAACGGGGCGCCGAGCACCAAAAGAGCGCAAAATGCCTCGAACACCAAAGGGGCGCCGAAAACAAAAAAGGCGCCAAAAGCAGAAGGGGCGCAGATGACCAAAAGGGAGCCGAAAACCAACATGGCCCCGAAAACCGAAAGGGCACCGAAAACCAAAGGAGCGCCACAAACCAAGCAGGCGCCGAACACCAAGCAGGCGCCGAAAATCCAAGGGACGCCGAACTCAGGGGGCGCCGACAAATCCAACAGAGCGCCAAAAACAGAAGGGCCACCGAAAACCAAAGGGTCGCCGAAAACCAAACGGTCGCCGAAAACCAACATGGCGCCGAAAACCAAAGGGGCGCCGAAATCCAAGGGGGCGCCGAACATGATCGGTCGACAAATTTGGCAAGGGTTTGAGAACTGCGAGGCATGGGACCGTTTCTAAGGACATCAATTGAATATGCAATTGGGGGATGCCAGGGGGGCAAGGGGGACGCGCAGCGGAACGTCCCAAGGGACACACCAGCGGACGTGCCTGGGGACGTGCCATGGGGACGCACCGCCGGTCGTGCCAAGGAGAGGCGCGGGGCTGGACGCGCCCTTGGGAGTTCCTCAGCAACTGTCGGGGGCTGATGGGAGAGGCACTAGAGCACCTCGGAGTAGCCCTTCTTGAACAAGTCTTGGGGCCCTCTTGGGCCATTCGAGGCCCTCTTGTGCAATTTTGGGACCCTCTTGGGCCCTCTCGGGGGCCTCTTGGGCCGACTTGGAGCCATGGTGGGGTTCTGGGGCCGCCCAGTTCGGGCCCTCTTGGGCAGCTCCTGGGATCCTTTTGGGGCTGTCTCAAGGAGCCACTTGGGGCCCTGTCAGGCTCTCTGGGGCCTGTTCTAAGCTGTCTTGAGGCCCTCTTGGGCCGTCTTGCTGGACTCGTCGGCGCCTCTTGGGCCATCTCGGAGCGATCCTGGAAGAACCTGGAGCCGTGAGGGGCCGTTCGAGGCCCGTGATAGGGGAGAATGTGCAAAACCTTGGAATGCAGGCACACAAACACACAGACTTACACTTACACTTACAGTTACACTTACACTTACACTTACACTTGCACTTGCACGTACACTTA